AATTGCGTTTTGACCCCTGGTTTTCGATTTTCTTTTCAAAAATACACTCATAATCTAAATTTTCACCCATTTTTCTCAAAATTAATTTCAATTAAATTTAAATAATATTTTTACCCAATTTTATCATTATTATTATTTTTATTTTCATTAAATTAAATTAAATTAAATAAAAATCTCAAAAATTCAAATACAAAAACAAATAATAATAATAAGAATCAAATTAAAAATACTTGGGTGTTACATCAATATCCATCCTCCAAGAAACATCTATTCACAGAGAAAAAGCAATCCGCCAAGGCACTTAAAAGTGCGTTGGTTGCACTGGATCATAAAAGTTTGCTGCTAAAAAAGAAATTGTTTAAGTAAGGAAATGAGAAGACAAAGATAAGGTTCCATACAAGTGTAATACCTAAATTAATTTAATTATAATTTAAATTAATTTATAAATATAATTTTTAAATTTTTTTAAATTTTAATTTAATGTAAAAATAAAGGAAACTAGGAGAAAAATGAAATTGAAAATAATTTTGAAAAAAATGGGTTAAATTTTGATTTTGGAGGTATTTTTGAAAGAAAAATCAAAAACTGGAGGTCAAAACGCAATTTAAAAACGTTATGCCACGTAGGATGTCAAGTCAGCAACCTCGACGAACCAGAACGCACCCCGTGACAATGGACACTGATGCGGTGCCACGCAGGAGGCCACGCGGGCGATTCTCGTGCCCGCGATCGGATAGTCCAGATTCACTCCCGCGCACACGGACGGCCCTGATCCGTTCCCTCCCCAAATGCAATCGGATGGTCAAATTTAAATACGATCAACGGCTCAGGTTCACTCCTTTTTTAACTGCGATCGGACGGTTCAAATCAAACGTGATAGATAACTCAGATTAAAAGGAGACGGATATAAATAACTATTTTCACACTAAACCCTAACTCTAGTCGCCAGACACCCTCGCTGAAGAAGTAGACCCAGCCACGAGGAAGTAGAGTCGCCGCCGCACCGGAGCCACTTCCGACCGCCAAAAGAGATAAAAAAAAAATTTCTTTACTCGGAATTCAATTTTAAACACCCCCATAGCCAAATCGGAGCCAAAAGATCGACAGATTGGTCGAAAACCGTGAGCAACATCTGGCGATGGTGCTGCGAAAAATTTCAAAAATCGTCTCCAATGAGACTCTTCCGGATTCCCGTTTTGCGTAATTCTTTCACCATTGTAACCACCGTTTTCTCATCTACAGATTGATCAAAGCAAAACACTCAATCGCATAGGTGAGCCGGTAGAGCCGCCACACCAGAGAACCCTGTCGCCGGTAAGTTTCAGTTTTTTATTTTTTTTGGACCAACCGAGATCCCTTAACGTATTTTCTCGCAGGGATTGATGCAAAATTAGCCGAATTCGGCCGAAAACAGCTGAAAACAGCTGACTCGAGGCAAACCGCTGCCGCCCCGTCGTCGGAGCACGGCGAAACTACCGTGTCAGAATTTCAGAATTGGCCAAAAAGAGATCATGACATCGATTTTGAGTTTTTTTATATATTTATAGGTATTTGTAGCGCGTTTTAATTTCCGAAAAAAAAAATCAAGGAACCCAGAGACTCTCAGTAGACACAATCAACAAGTTTAGCTTTTCGGACATCAATTTGAGTAAGAATCTCTCACTCTATTCTCTGTTATGGAATTGAAGTCAAATTAACAATAATACAGTATTTTGTGCAATTTAAAAAATATTTATAATTAATTACGGGTTACTAATGGAGTAAGAACCGAAAATTATTTTCTGTTGATTTCTGTCGATTTATTATACAGTTTGAATACATGATAATATCTTATTGATCGATTTTATGGTTTTGAATACATGTATTGCTGCTTTATGTGACTACTGTTAAATTGAGAAACTGAGTTGTGATTGCATTCCATGATGCATGTTTATTTGTTTTATGTGATTACGGTTGAATTGAAAAACTGGAGATTAAAAGTAAATAAGAACTGTGTGATTAAGTGAATGGATGAAACGACAGTCTTATTAGATATTCAGGGAGATGTGGACAAACCGAGTGCATAGAGAACCCTACCGTGAACGTTGTCTCATACCGGACGTGATATCGAGACTTAAAATTTTGGCGCTCATACCGGATAGGGTATGAAGACGGCCCATTTCACCCTCATACAGAATGGGGTATTGAGGTTTTGTAATTTGGTACTCATACCGGACGGAGTATGGGGATGATCCGTTAATTGAAAATATTAAAGGAAATGGTTCACGCGTTGTGAAGACATCCCTATGAACTCCCATAAATACCAGTAAGCTGATGAAAAGAGACAGTTGTTGTTATTACTTAATTGAATATGAGATCATGATATGTGTTATGTTATTGATTCTAAATGTTGTTTTTGTAAATCTCGCTACGGTAAGTAGCCGGTAAACGATTTTGTTATGATAAATGAATTTGCTTAATTAAGAACTCCATTAACTGTTTTGATTTTTCTATAATTCATTATTTTTGTGTCGGTGAGTAGCGTGATATTTTTACTGAACTAGTGTAACTCATTCATTTATTAATCATTTCAAATCAAGAGTATCAGGATATATAGCTCAATTCACAAGAGGGTTACGAATAAGATGCCAATTTTATTTATTTTCCGTTTATTTTCTTAAATTTTTGTATTTCCTTCAAAAGGGTAATTCCCGTAACATTATTTGGTACTTTAAATTATTGTGTAAGAAATTTAAATCCGAACTAATTATTTCACTTCCGCACTTAATTTATAATTTATAATTGTGTAAGCAACGCCAAAGCACTTAAAAGTGTGTTGGTTGCATTGGATCATAAAAGTTTGCTGCTAAAAAAGAAATTGGTTAAGCGAGGAAATGAGAAGACAAAGATCAAGTTCCATACAAGTCATTAGCTAGTCTCCGAAGTCATGTTCAATGCAGATCCAATTCAACTCCAAATCACAAGACATAAGTGAAAATTTAGTTCTTCAATCAAGGATTGATAAAATAGTTCATATGAAAGTAGAAGGGAGTCAAACCTTTATTTATTCAGATAGTAGATGATCATTTGGCAATACCTGCTCTAAATTACCGAAACTAAATATGAAACCTAATCACATTCTCTCTCATTGCGGTTTAGGTTGACTCCAAATGGCCCTAACTTGTTCCATACGAAAATCCATTTGAGCACACCCCATAGAGAACATCAACTGTGTCTTTTTTTTATCTTGACAACCAAGGATTTCATATTCCTAGAAATTAATAAAAGCACCTATTTGGAAATTGAGTAGCCACTTTTCCTTTAACTTAACAACAGAATCCTCAATGTCAATAGTTTCATCCTCTCTAACATGAAAGTTACTGTTATTCAAACCTTCAATGGAGTTGTTAACTAGAATATTCCGTTACTTCATTAGTTGAGATATTTTTTTCTTTATAATCATTCCTATAATTATGTAATTAATTAGTAGAATCAATTAAAATTTCTACAATAATGTAAATTTCTTTATTCTTAGACAAAAATTCTGTATGTATACCTCAGTTATAATATCATAAGTGGTATGAGAAATAAATAAATAAATAATTTTTTTCTCCAAAAAAATCTTCAGGAATAAGTATTACTTGGTTGCTTTATGTGACTTCGCATATAGCATCCCCAAGCAACCATAATTACAACTTGATCTTGTCGGCACAGCCAGGTTAATTTGGTCTGGGATTTTCTTATGCAAGATGCAAGAAACCACATAACAGAAACTTGTAAGCAACTGCAAAATACGGATATCGTTTTCATGGTTAGACCTTGTAAGATCTGAAATTTCATTGACAAAGCCGTATAGAGAAACTTCATCAACAATCTCATCTACCAAAACTTTTCATTTAAAAGATATATTTAAACCTCAATCATAGAATGTTATAAAACTCACCCAAAAAAATAAAAACAAACTCCTCATCAGAAATGAGCAGGCATGCCATTTCCATGAGCCAAACCCAGTATGCATACAAAGCTGGCGATAATACTGAACAAGGAAAATAACATAGTCTGGTATTGTTAGTGGCCCTGCCTCTAACATGCATGGACACACAGTTAACCTAGAATATCTCTTAACCTTATCAAAGGGATTGGCCATGAAATTGATCTGGTAACTAAGGATAAGTATAACACACAAGCAGACACCAGTAAATGAACAGTTGAAAACACAATACAACATTCCGTGCATTTGTAACCATGAATAAAATCAAGGTCACAGCCACAGGTGTCATCACTGAACAAACTTGTTCAAATCAACGACTACTTCAAAATTGAGGTTACATGATTGAAAAGAGATTATGATTGCCAAGTTGAGCAATAATAAATGAGTTAGATTTCTATGAAAATAATAAAACTACCATCAATGAGCAGTGTTTCAAGAGAAGAGGTGTTGGGTGTTGCCTATTTGTTTCACATGGCATCACCTCCTACACAAGCCTTACCCACTTTTTCCTCCATTAGGAAGCTTTTAGAAAAGGTGAATATCACCACATCCCACCTTTTACAACTTCTCTTCGTTTCCGTGCATTGGATTACAAGTATAAAACAAAGGAGAAAATGACATCTCCATTTTCACAAATTTACAGCAAAGGAGACAATGACATCCCCATTTTCCATAACCATTTATTGTCTAAGTCGGATAACCTTTTGCCACTCAGAGGACTGCCATGAAATGTTAACAACTCAATTTCAAAACGTTTTCTCAATACAAAGGCAGAAACCTAGGCAAACTGAATTTAATGAACAACAAAAAAGAGAAAGCATGTTAACTCATGGAAATTGAAGCAAATCTATAGAATTGAGAAGCGATAAAGATTCTGTGTCAACTCGTTTATAGAAAATCAGCCGAGTATTCCACATACAACCATCTTAAAAGAATAAATTTTGTGTTTCATTCGTCAGTTAAAAGAGCCATTAGCTTTACCTCACTTATGGGAACCAAAACCATTCACGCCCGTTTCAACAATAGCTCCCTCCTTTGCCGCATTATCTTCGTCTCTAATCCCATCATCCTCATCAGAATCCAAGGTGAAGTTACCCATATTCTCCATCTGGCGCATTTCTGCACCTAGCGGCCTATACCGCGAAAAGTCACTGCCATCCCCGTACTTTCTTGCCATTATTGAGTACAACCCCACTGTCAGAACCACAAGCAAAGCAAGGTGGCAGTTGAACTGAAGTGTAGCGATCCCTCTTCCCCTGTGGTATTCAGGGTGCCCTTTACACTTCACAGTGAAATTCCCTCTACTCTTCTGGTGCAAAGAGCACCCTTGAACCATCCAATTCGTGTAAAACGAAACACCCATTTGCAAAAACCACGTCCCTTGCAAAATCAACGCAGACCCACGTGCCAATCTTGGGTAATTTGATGTTGGCAATTTAAATTCAAGAATCGTAGAGAACACACAGATGGTGACGGGCACGAGTAGGAGATCGAAGTAACGATTCTCGATCCCGCTTGGGTCCTTCCTCTGCATGTAAAACAACACGAACTCTTCAAGAAAGCCGAAGAGAGCAATCAGGTTGAGAAGCGAACAAGGCAAATGAAAGGATGTCTTGAAATTAACAAAAAATCCCAAGACAGCATAAAACAGAAACAGAAGCGCGATGACGAGTACTTGCAATTGGAGAACCGAGCCGACCCGATCACGGGAATTAAGCGCGTCAAACAAGGACAAGAGAGAATTTAGTATAAACAGAAAAGAAACTACAGAGATCGCGATGAATGTTAAAGATGAAGAAGACATTTTGGATTTATCGGCTGAAGTAATCGCACTCCCGGTTTCATCGACAGGTGAAGAAGGGCTAGTATTAGGATTCGAGTTCGAAGAGGCTAGAGATTCCCATGCACCGATCAGAATGAAACAACCGCCTGCTACGATGTAACCGTAAAACCCCATCCTTGAGTTAACCCCTCAGTCAAAATTTATTTAGCTTCTTTCTGCATATAGATCTTCAGGGAAGACAGGTAGGGTAGTCCTCTTGTTGCTGTCGTTGACCTTTTGAATGTCACAAGTGCTTCCGTTTTCAGTTGTATTTTCTTTGTTTTTTTTCTGCTTTATTCAGGTTTTCTTTTTTTTTTTTTTTGCATCGCGGATGGCGGTGGAAGCCGCCGTGCCTGCAGGCGGAGTTTAAATTGTAGGGCCCAAAGGTTTCATAAATTATAGAAAAGCCCATCCACAGTTTAAAACATATAAAAAATTACCCCACCTCCCTAATTATTAGACAAAAACCACGCCCAGCCTCTTTCTTGAATATTATATTCATACAAAAAGAAAAATAATATTTTTCTAAAAGCTCAAAAAGGTTCGTGCATGTTATAAAACATATTAGATGGCATTTCAAGAGTGAAAGATATTAGACTTCGTTCAAATTTTAGTATCAACTAAAAATTAAACTGGAACGAATTGAACAGTTCATATTAAATGAAACTAAATAATATTTAATCTAATTTTTAAATTAGATATTAAGAAATTAAAAGATTTTTTTTTTTCATTTAATTAACTAATTTAAATAAAAAATATTTATTTTTAATATATTTTAATGTAGTTCAATTATAAAATTTAAATCTAAAAAAATTAAAAATATAACTCAAATTTAGATTTAAATTCAAAATTAATACGAAACTGTTTGATAAAATCAGTATTAATTATAAACATTTAAAATAATATTATAATTCTTATAAAAGTAAAATAATTACACTAAAATTATTATAATAAATTTTATAAATTAATTTTTTTATGACTTCTATTTTTATAATTACATCTCTTTAATTTTTTTAGATATAAAAAGCAGAAAAAATAAATATTTAATATAAAATAAAAATGCTCTTCTGTTCAAAGTTATATATCTCCTTAATGTAAATAGAAAATGTTAATTAAAAGTTAAACCCAAATTTATTTTTATTTACGCAAAGCTCCACATATACATATATATATATGTATATATATATTTAAGTGTAAATAGGGTTTTATTATATTTTCTTCGCTTCTTTCTCCCTGTCGAAATCGGCAGCCGTGCCCCGCTTCTTCCGTTATCTCATAATCTTCACAACAAAGGGTCCTGGAGAAGCTAGAGATTGAAGTTCTCCCTCTCTCGTCTCTTTGAACTTTGGAAGGAGAGGCGGTTTGTGGCTGTAGCTGCGCCTCCTGTGTTGATAGCAGCGGCTCTTTATGTCTTCTTCGTAGTAAGGGTCTTCACGGCAGCATTTCATCTCTTCCCAGCTTCTGAAGATTTCTAGTCTCCTCTTTGGGGTAGTTTCTCAGTTTGTATTTATGTAGCATACGTTTTGACTGTAAGATCCTTCTTATTCATAGTGACAATCCAATTCAAATAAATCACTTTTACTTCAATATCTGTATTTTTGTTCTGGGAGGTTGAAAAGCTGAGGTGGGAATTGGTGTACAGGAAGTCGGTAAGAGGGTTGAAACTTGAAAGAAAACAGTACTACAGAGGACTAAGATTCGGAAAGGTTAGCATAGGTTAGAAATTGTGTTATGGTCCCAGTCAGAACCTTAAGTAATTAGATGACAATCTCTTTTAGGCGAGAATAACCTTAATTTTGGAAACAAGAACACACATATGACTTTTTCATTGAGTTGCAAGAGTTTAAATAGAAGATTACAACGGTGGTTTACATACTTTAGGATAACTATTACACAAGTTAAAATGGTAGTGTAACCGCTGGTGTTATTGATTACTGATGCAGTTTCTTCAATTGTCTGAATATCTGATATTCTTCTTGGGTTGTCTCTTAGATCTTTGGAGCGTAACAGATTGTTGCATTGATTCAGATTGTAATTAGTAATTTGGATGATTAAATTGTATATTAGTTGTTTATTTTTTAGACATGGTTCCAAATGTGATTAACTTTTTAAGTTTACCTGTGATTCTATTTACCATTAGAAAAACAGTAGTACAGAGGACTAAGATTCAGAAAGGTTAGCATAGGTTAGAAATTGTGTTATGGTCCCAGTCAGAACCTTAAGTAATTAGATGACAATTTCTCTTTTAGGCGAGAATAACCTTAATTTTGGAAACAAGAACACACATGAATTTTTCATTGAGTTGCAAGAGTTTAAATAGAAGATTACAACAGTGGTTTGCATACTTTAGGATAACTATTACACAAGTTAAAATGGTAGTATAACCGCTGGTGTTATTGATAACTGATGCAGTTTCCTTAATTGTCTGAATATCTGATATTCTTCTTGGGTTGTTTCTTAGATCTTTGGAGCGTAACAGATTGTTGCATTGATTCAGATTGTAATTAGTAATTTGGATGATTAAATTGTATATTAGTTGTTTATTTTTTAGACATGGTTCCAAATGTGATTAACTTTTTAAGTTTACCTGTGATTCTATTTACCATTATGTATATAAATTGATTTAAGTTTTATGGATGATTATGTTTTATTGTACATATTAAATAATTTTATATTGTAAAACTTTTAAATAAATCATGTGAAAAAAGAGTATTCCATCAGTTAGTGGAGTTGAGGGAAAACTACTCTGTATAAAAGAATGTCTGATGGGATACTTCTCTTTCAGCTTTAATTAAGCATGGAACCTAGTACAAAATTTTGGTATTGCTTTTAATCCCTAAAAAGATTAGTAAATGGCTTTGATTAAATGATGTTGCCTCAATTTCAATCTGTATGCAGATGGGTAAGAAAAAGGAAAAAGTTATCCCTGAGTCTGATCCTATTGCTGACCTCAAGGGAATCATCCACCAGCATTCTCTATTTTTTGACAAGTTGATTGAGCTCATACCTGCAAAATTCTATTTACCAAATGATGATAAGGAGAAGATATGGTTTAGGGGACTTAGCAAGGAGGAAAAAGCGTCAGCAAAGAAGAAGACGAGGGAGAACCTCAAGAATGCTCGCAGAGATCGATTAGATCCAGAAATATCGTCTACAAGCACCCTTGATTTGCTAAAACAAAGCTTGGAGAAGGAAAAACTAAAGAAGGAGAATGAGGATGACGAAACAGATATTTCACCTGCGATGGCTGGTCTGGAAGGTGATGATCGATCAGTAACATATGAAGAACTCCGACAACGCCTTCGTCGTAAAATTGAAGAGCTTAGAGCAGGTCGTGGGGGTTCAGATAAAGCAAAGAAGGATGAGAATATCAAGAAAAAGCAAATTCAGCAAAAGAAACGGAAGAGAGAGTCTGGAGCCAGGGAAAAGCATCCTACAATTGGTAAGCCTTCAGATAAAGTGCGGAAAGGTGTCGCAGAGGCATCAAAGGAACTTACATTTAGTCATGTTAAAATTGGAGATGAGCAAGAGCATGGGAAGAGGAAGAAGAGAAAAGTTTCAAAGATGAAGGAGCTTGAAATGGCCATGAAATTGGAAGAAGCAAAGAAAGATCCCAAGAAAGGTGATATCGTTGCAAGCAAGCATTCATGGAAAGCGGCAACTAGTCGAGCTGCAGGGATCAAAGTCCATGATGATCCAAAGTTGTTGAAACAAAGCATCAAAAAAGAGAAGAAGAGGACTCAGAAAAATGCTCAGAAATGGAAGGAAAGAGTTGAAAGCCAAGTGAAAATGAAAACAGAAAAACAACAAAAGAGATCAGAGAACATAGCAGAGAGGATTCAGCAAAAGAAGATGCGGCGAATTGCAAAAAGAGAGAAAAAACTCATGCGGCCTGGCTTCGAAGGTCGCAAGGAAGGTTCTCTAAATGAAGGTGAAGGTTAAGTTGGCTACTGAAATTGTGGGTTAGTTTTCTTCTATCTGTCTGGATTACCTATCAATCACGTTTCTTTTTTTGATAGATAAGTAAAGTTAGGTGCAAGCAGTAGGGATTTGAACCATCAATCTCTCAGTGGAGAGATAAGGAGGTAACAAACTTAACTTTTGTTCAGTAATTATCAATCACATTTCTTCTTACATCATTGCTCTTACTGGAATTTGGGTGACCAATATGAAGATGATATCAGAAACCATCTTTTAGTATTCAATAGAGAAACGTTCTGGAGTGAGTAGTATTGACCCAACATCTTTACCATTTTGTATTTTCCATTTTTATGTTATAATTTTAGTTACTATTTGTTATTAGACTACAATAATAATAACATATGATTGTAGCATACATTGTATAGTAGTTTAGTTTAACATATTTTGTCATGCTTAACTACTAACTTCTGTCTTTCTACTATTTTTTTAAATTTGGTTTCTAAGTAATTCTTTTTTTTATATATTTTTTTATATTTTATACTTTTAAAAATTATTCGAATTAATCCTTTTTTATTGAAAAATAAAATATGATAATTCTTTTAAATTTCTATTAGAAATCTTTTTACTAAAATAATTCCATTTACATAAGATTATATTTATAGTATTATGTAATTATAAAAAATTCTTTGAAATTATATTTTATGTATATAAGTTGAAAATCTAGCTTTGAAATATATATAATGTTTATATAAAATAGAAATAAATAAAATTTGATTTAAAAATAAAAGATTAAAATTTGATTTGATTTATAATATTTTTATTTTAGAAAAATTAATAACATAGACTTTATGAATAATAATATATTTCAAAAAAATTACTAAGAATATAGACGTTTAGATAAAATTTTAACCATTTTATTCTCTTAGTTTTTGTTGTTGATTGTTTGGTTATTGATATAGATAAAATTTTTGGTGTTTTCCCTTTTCTTTATGTACATATATATGTATATATGTGTGTGTGTATATATATATATATATATAACTTAAAGCATTGTGTATGTCTAATAATTTTTTTCGGGAAGTATTCTTGATGGAAATCTCAAACTTCAAGATCGAAAGAACAAGATTCTGTCTTTATGAAGTTTTACAAATTTGAAAAAGGAATATTATTGTCAATAAAATTAATTTATGTAATAATCAGATTCAGAATTTGGTTGGAATTAATTTTAATATTCTAAAATATATAAAAATTATTTTTTTAAATTAATAAATTTTAATTTAATGTGAAATTATGAAAAAAATAGATTATGGATGAAATTGAAAATAATTTTAAAAAAATAGGTGAAAAATTAGGTGTTGATGATATTTTTGAAAGAAAAATTAGAAACTCGGTGTCATAGTATAATTTTAAAAAGTTATGTTATGTAGGATTGTCCAATCAGCAGTCTCGACGAACCGGAATGCGCTGCATGCAAGACGCGATGACTTAGTGCCACGTGGGAGGCCATGTTGGCAATCCGCGTGCCTCGCGATTAGACGGCCTAGACATCTTTCCACACGCGTGAACGTTCCGGATTCGTTTCTTCCTTATGTGCGATCGGACGATCGCGATCAATGAACGATCCATATTTGTTTCCTCCTGAGATGCGATCGAACAGTCGAAATCAAACGCGATGAACTATCCAA